GTCACACTAGGCTGAGGTATCCACACCCTTATAAGGAGTGCTTAGTTCTCCTCACCAACCGATGTGGGACGGGTTGTTACAGAATACATCCTATAGAAAGAAATGGTTTGGTAGTTACAACATACCCCAACCAAATACTAACATATTAGGACCCAAGTCCGTTTAGGTACCAAAATCTACTTGCTTTGGTTTTGCAGGTGTGTCCATTTCATGCTAATCAGAATATCATTTTGTGTGATACACCAATGCAGGGGGAGTTGTACATTACTTCAAACTATGGCTTCTAAACAYTTCAGTTCAGAACCCGTGCTTTACCGAGTGTGGTTTCTAAACACCCAGTTTAGAACCCGTATTTAAAATGTTTTCTTTCTATTTTTTGAGCTTAAAAGATTTATTACTTAAATCTACTTTCTAGGGGGAGTTTCCTTAGAAAGTTCAATTTTTTTTTGAAAACGAGTACATTCTCTGAACAGGTATTTCTTGAGGTTTTACTTGCGTAACTTCTCATCGTACATAATTCCAATACCTGTTTCAGCTATTCTTCATACTGTTATTATCACGTCTCTTATACGAAAATCATTTTCGCTGATAATACACTCGTTTATATTCAAAATTGTTTTCTGATATTATATTTTTCTTTGACTGATACATATTCATTTTTTTTTAATATCAGATTCTGTAAACTTGTTCTTACAGATCTTCATTCATTTCTCTCGTACATATCAAATAATCGAATTTTTGTCGCTTCATTCTTTATTGATYGTGCTTAAAGCCAAATTAATTGATCAACTTTTATCTGATCATTGTGCTTTACTGAAATAATATGTTTGATCATCCATTGTGATCATTGGTGCATAACGCATTACTTTAAGAGGGACTGAGTGCTTATAAGAAATACCTCTATGGAATGTCAAAACCGACAGACCTACCCAAGAGGACAACCATATCTGAGTGAGCTTACATACAAAGGGTTTGTGTGCTGAGACTAAAATGGAAAAGAGAGGGGTAGTTGTTGTGAGCTAAAAGAATTGACGGAAGTTGTGTCAGGATTAAAAGAATACGAAAATCCTGTTCTCAACTTATATAATCCGGGCATACCACATAATCTATTAGTTCTCGATTCTTTGGAGACTGATATTGAAATAGGCAAAGCCCAGGCCAATTCTTGTCACAACCCCACCAACTACTCATTTATCTCTCAACAGATAAATGTTTCAATAACATTTGGGGCACGCAGCTCATC